GCTGGTATCTTTCAGAGTGCAAAGTGATATAGGAATAAAAAGGTTTCTTTGGATAGAGTTCCGTAGACACTTGTCACTGATAAGTGTTCCTGAACTGTGAAACATCAAAATATCGACTAAAGAATAGTTCTCATGACAAATAAACACCAGTGTGGACAGTAAAAAAAAAAAAAAAATCCCAGAAAAGGTTTTTTTCCCATATGTAATTTTTATATTTGAGTTGTTTTTATACACTGAGCCTTAGGAAACAAGAACTTAAAACAAATTGACTGCATAGATTGTCATATTTTAGCAAGACTCACCTCAAGATATTTTTTCTTTTTAGTTTTATGCTTACAAACCATTTTCTTAAAAGAGAACTCTGGTTACCCTTTACCTACTCTTGGTACACTATAGTTTTACCTTTGTTCATAATTAGTGTTTGGACTAATTTTATAAGGCTGCCATGTTCAAATTTTCCAAAAAGTTTGGCTTGAAAAAATAAAAATGAAATCAAGGTGTCTTCAAGGTTGGGCCTTCTGAGGATTTTGAGGAGAATCTGTTTGATGCTTTTCTTAGCTTCTCCTGACAGTTGGCATTCTTTGACATTTCTCAGCTTATAGATGCACCATTTAAAATTCTACCTCCATTTTAAATGGCATACTCTCATGTGTCTCTATGTCAAAATGGGCTTCTTCTTAAAAGAACATCAGCTGTATTATACTCAGGCCTATTTTCATGATCTCATATTAACTTCATATATCTGCAAAGACTATATTTCTAAATAAGGTCACATTCACCAATACCAAGGAATAAGAGTTTCAACATAACTTTATGAGGTACATAATTCAACTCAGGACCATACTCTTCTCAAAAGACTGAAAATATCTCTGTTTCTTCCAAGTCTGTTGTTCTTGGGACATAGGGAATGAGATACAGGCACTTCAGGTCGATGTGTTACATTGATTTTGACTTTTGAGAATTTTCTGAAACTCTCTTTCCTTTGAACATTGAACATACCAAATTTTTAGGTAGCAGTTGCTTATTCAGTCTGAATTGTTGAGTTGTCATAGAGAACATAGGCCTTCTGATCAACCATGAAGAACTTGAAGCATGATGAAGAAATAATTCTTTGGGTTTTGGAGCACCATTATTTTAGAGATAATTTATTACTATTATTATTCTGACTGATACATCTATTTAAGTCCTATATATAAATTTATAAAGTACACTTCTTCTTTTATTTTTGTCTGAGTCCCTCACAGAATCCAATCTAAACATGACAAAGAATTTGTCTCATTTCATTTTATGCTGATATTTGCAGTAATGGTCACAATAAGATATAACCAATTAAAATTTGGTGGACATATTAATAGATTAAAAATGAACAAATATATAGCACATATATATAATATATATTACATTTTCCTTTCATCATATTTATTATTGTAATATTTGGACTTTATTAAACCTTTTATTTATGGTTAACAATTCAACTTTAATTTTCTAAAAATCATAACTGCATATATACACATTGGAACATTATTCAGCCATAAGGAAGAAAGAAATTCTGTCATCTAGAGGAAAATAGATGGATCTGGAGATCATCATGTTGAGCAAAATAAGCCAGACTTAGAAAGACAAATATAGCATGTTCTCTCTGATTTAAGAAATCTAAACCTGATGATAAAAAAATGGAAATGTGTCAAGACCTAACTGACAGATTCAGTAGAGTAGCTGGATATAAGGTTAACACTCAAAACACAATAGCCTTCTTATATGCAAATAGCAGACCCATTGAGAGAGAAATTTGGGAAATAATTCCTTTTACAATAGCATCTAAAAAAATTAAATATCTAGGGATCAACCTCACAAAGGAAGCAAAAGACCTCTACACTGAAAACTACATCATTCTGAAGAAGGAGATCGAAGAGGATATAAGAAAATGGAAAGATATCCCTTGCTCCTGGGTAGGGAGAATCAATATAGTGAAAATGGCCATACTTCCAAAACTACTATATCATGGATTTAATGCAATACCGATTGAAATTCCAACAAAATACTTCACAGAACTAGAGTAAACAATCCAAAAATTCATTTGGAAGCAGAAGAAACCTAGAATAGCAAAAGTAATTCTGGGCAACAGAGACATGGCTGGGGGTATCACAATCCCCAACTTGAAACTATACTAAAAAGCTACTGTGAAAAAAACCAGCTTGGTACTGGCAAAGAAACAGACACGAGGATCAATGGAATAGATTAGAAGATGCAGAAACAACTCCAGACATACTCAGCCACCTCATCTTTGACAAAGGAGCCAATCGCCTTCATTGGAGAAAAGATAGCCTGATCAATAAATGGTGTTGGAAAAACTGGATTTCAACCTGCCAAAGATTAAAACTAAACCCATAATTATCACCATGAACTAAACTAAGATAGAAGTGGATTAAAGAGCTAAATATCAAGACAGAAACAGTAAACTTTCTGGAAGATAAGTTAGGTAGAACTCTCAATGACATTGCCATAGGAAAAGACTTTATGAACAAAACTTCAGTAGCACATGAGCTAACACACAGAATCAACAACTGGGATCTCATCTTATTAAAAAGCTTCTGC